CAAAACATATATTGCAAGAATAATTCTTTTTTTGTGCGTGAGTGAATATTGCAATAACAATTTTCCGAAAATAACAATGATTTTTACAGGTACAAGTCCTACTATTTAACCCCTAGCTGGGAGAGGAGATGGCTTCATACCTTCCCCCAGGCTATTTGCGCATAAGTAAATGTAACGAACTCGACTACAATTCGATCTCTCTTTCCGAGCCACTATCCATTATACTACCGCACATCCACGTTAAAATCCCGATGAATGAGCAGCGTGATATGAATAAAACAAGAGATGACAGGGAGTGAAAACTGTGTAGGTTAGATAAGGGTTGCCTTAATTTCAAGACGTTTAGTCTGGTAGTGTTTAGTGAAGCATCCCCGCTTCGTCTGTTCCATAAAATGGTAGGATGACTCGACCCAGTGTAAATAGCATGGTGCGTCGTAGCTGTAAAGGTCTGAATTGATGGAACTAAAGAATGAAACTCGTCTGATCATTTGCAATGGAAACAGAGTCTGTTGGGAGAGGCTGCAGAGTGGAGAACAAATCTCCCCACAAGAACATTGCACCGGGAACTAGAATATCACTCGTGCTCTATTTTTTGTCCACCCCAGCTTCAATCAGCCCACCCACATTTCTCTACATTTCAGGATGACCTGCTTGGTGGCTGAACTGGTTGCAAATTTAATTTTAATTAGCCTAGTCACGATTGCCAGTGAGCACTTTCTAGGCTTTTTAAACAATAATGTTCGCCTAATACAAGGCTCGAAAGCTATAGAGTTACTGTGAAAAGCGTATTGATTTGTTTTTTACGGTTTGTCAACCCCTTGTGGGTTATTTAAATCCTAAACATATTTTGTATTATCAGAATTATTCTTTTTCGTGAGTTAATATTTTGATAACAATTTTTTCAAGAATGACAATCATTTTTCCAAACCTGAAATTTCTCTCCTTTTGTTTCTAACTCTATAATCTATATCTGCTTCAGTCAGTTTCTCTCTCTCTCTCTCTCTCTCTCTCTCTCTCTCTCTCTCTCTCTCTCACTTTCTCTTTCTCTATTTCTCTTACTTTCTCTCTCTCATTTCTCTTTTTCCTCTCTCTCTCTTTCTCTATTTCCCTTTCTCTCTCTCTATCTCTCTTTCTCTCTCTCTTTCTTGCTCTCTTTCTTTCTCTTTATTTCTCTCTCTCTCTCTCTCTTTCTTTCTCTCTTTCTCTTTCTCTCCCTCTTTATCTCTCTTTCTCCCTCTCCTTCTCCCTCTCTTTCTTTATTTCTTTCTTTCTACCAGTTTTTCTTTTCTTTTCAAATTAATTTGTTTGGTGGCTGAAATGGTTGCAGGCTTACGTCCATATCACATTGAAACACCGGTTCGGGTACGATCACCGAAGTTAAGCCACGATGAGCCTGGTCAGTACCTAGATGGGTGACCGCTTGAAAATACCAGGTGCTATTTACAATATGTCTTATTACTGACATGTCACGATAGCTGACAAGGAAGAGAATTAGTGAATGAGTACATGAGCCAAATAGTCTCCCATATCTACCTGGATGTATGGATGGCGTAATGGATAATGGCCCGGAGTTCAAAATTAGAGAGCTGAGTTTCGATTATGGACAACTTCGTTATATTCACCTGCGCGTAAATACCCTTGGGAAAGGTATGAATCTACCTCTTCTCCCCGCAGCTATGGGTTAATTAGTAGAACGTGTATCACTAGAAAAATTATTATCCCCAAAAAAGTTTTTACAATCTAAAAATATTTTCTGGCTTTAAATAACTTACAAAGGGTTGATAAGCCGTGAAAAAAAACAAAAAACAAAGTCAATCAATCGAAACTGAAATGGTTACAAATTTAACTTTAATTTATCTTGTCACGATTACTAATGAGAACATTCTCGGCTTTTTAAAATACTAATGTTTTTCCAGTACAGGGCTTGAGAGCCATTCAAAGTAGAGTGTTACTGATATAATAGTAAGGATGAAAAGTTAGCTGGTAAGAAGTGAAGAGTATGAAAATAGGGATACGTATTGACCTTTGACTTGAAGAGAATGACGAGAGTATTTTCCACAAAGTGACATTTCGTAAGAAAAAGCTGTCCGAATTAAAATTTCTTTATACATTTGGAATACGGAGGAAATGGGGATGATTCGACGTCACGGAAGTGTCCTAGCTGTCCGTTGGGACCGTGTTCATAGTTGATGTTATTGAGTGCTGGCTTTTTCTTTTTTATTAGCAATGCTTCCATTTATGGTCAATGTTTCTAGACTTTTTTTTTACATGTGGATGAGGCTGTTATAGTTGTATTTTCTATGAGTATGTTGCAGATGGAGTTTGGGCAGTTTCTCTGTGTGTTTAAATGAGTCCTAATTGAGCTATGATCAGAGAGATGTAACGTGAGTCATCTTGCTAGGCATGTAGTGGTATGTCCAATATAATTATTCGTGAACTTTTTGTGTTTGGTCAGGAACACAGTTCCTTAAGAGACATGTGAATTCATAAATAATATTGGTTGTCTGTAATTTGGATCTTGCAGGTGAAATGTTATTTTTTAGATATTTTTTACATACTTTATGCTCTGAAAAGACCTTGTCAGTCCTCTTTAATGATATATATACATATATATATATATATATATATATATATATATATATATATATATATATATATGTATATATGTGTGTGTGTGTGTGTGTATATATTACTGTTCCCTTCTCTCATAATGTCGAGTTTCCGTTGACAGGAAGGGTTTTGGTGGAAATGAAAACATTAACATGTCACCAAGCAAGAGGTTAACAAGTGAAAGAGAAGAGAGGATTTAAAATATAATCGTGTATCCGTGGGGAGTGGCTGGTTTATGGAAGGTTGCTATCCGCGGATACCAATGTCCTTTATATAAAATAGCGTAGTATTTGTACATAGCCCACGATTATTTTCCCCTAAACTTTAAAATATTTCCAGATTACTTATCATCTCTCTAGGCCCGTCACACGGTGGGGACAAGCACCTCATCTCCTCGCCGCGAAAATTATTCGGCCGATTTGTAAAAATGATGTGAATTAATTTTAGTGTGCAAATTCGTACCCGTGCCTACTACTGACTTAGAAGCTGAACTCTTCCTCAAAAGACTCAGGCGACGGGCTTGCAAGTCTAATGTACTGTAAAACTCTGTAATAATTATTTTAAAAGTATAAACAGGATGTGCGGGTGGTATATTTGATAGCAGATCGGAATATGAAATCGGAAAGCAGTGTTCGAATTTCGGTCGTTCGTTACATTCGCTTACGCGCAAATACTATTAGAAAAGATAAGAATGCATCTCCCCCTCCCAGCTATGGGTTAAATAGTAGGACATATCTCGAAAAATCATTGTTATCACCAAAAATTGTTAATGCTATATTAACGCGAAGAAAAAAGAAATAAATAAAAGAAAAATTATTCTTATCATCGGAATTTGTTTTCCTTTTGTTTTAAATAACCCTAAAGGGCAAATAAGCCTTATAATGCCAAATCAATCGACTAATTTAAGTATAGACAAAAACGCCATTCGGAAATTGCCTCCTATAAGGAAAACACAAACTTAGCACGCTGGACTTGCAGACCCTGAGTAATGAGTTCGATTCTCCCTGATTGCTCTATGCTTATCCTTTGACAAAACATAACTACGCTTAGTAAATAATAACTTAATGGGGATGTGAGGCAAGAGAGAATATTTCCAGTTTGCATTTCTCCCTTATTTCCGCGGAACAGAAAAAAAAACAGAAAACCGTGCATTGTTCTCAAATAGATTTTTTACATCGATATATTCATACTTGTTACTAATTTGTCCCACACATAGAAACTATAACATATGTGTACAACAAGCAGGGTGAAAAAAGAGAAAAGAGACAGGGGCTTACTTGTAATATTTCCCAACCAGCGGTATCTGTTATATTTCTGGCGAGACCATGTAGGTTACTCTATTTACCATACCGCTGTGGGTCCTAACGTCTGTTTTCAGTGTGTTTTTCTGTTTTCTAGCAAATGGCGAGAGCAAGCACGTCTTGCCTCTCCGTGAGTTAAATAGCAAGTGGTGTTCGACACTCTATGAACTGACGTCACTCACTGGACGTCGTCTCAACGAAAGGGAGATAATCGCTCTTTGCCTCCCTACAGACTTGTATAAAAATTACCTTTGTGACATTAGTAAAGAGAAAAATTAAAGAGAATTCTGTTACAAAATTTATTTGCGCACCTTTTAAATCCACACGTATTTCTGAAAGGGGGTGTTTAGATGAAAACATCTTGAATTTTTAAATAAAATTTTTCGGACTTTTTTTTTAAATAAAGGATTCGGTCAGTCAGTTAAGTGACATATGTGATATACAGATGTGTTAACAGAGCCGGCGCGTACTACCCCCGACCGGGAGAGAGGACAAGTCTGATTAGGGGGCCCTGGGCAGTGTTTTATGACCCTCGCTATTTTACCAACATTTGCTTTTTTTTATCTACACTTATATACATTACAAATTAAACTAAGCCCAACCGACCATTACACGATGAAAAATTTTCGCGTGTTTTGACGTCGTTCTGTGGTCTTTTGATTTTCCTCCAAATCTGTTTTGCCCATGCTAAGTCGAAAAGACATTATATAAAACTCACTAATTTTTTTATCTATAATGTTGAATGTGTTAAAATTATTCAACTATTTAACAAAAAAAATCTCAAGTTGATATTCAAATTTGCCACAAATCATTGTTGATTTATTTAAGCTCTATTATGACATGTCTCTAATTTGTATTTAGATACATTGTATTTATTTTCATTTTTTCTAGTCGTATTGTTCACATATATTGCATATGATCCTTTATTGTACGTAATTGGGTTACAATAAAAAATTTGTTTTTTATATAAATACTACCGTATGACAATTGTGATGTAGTTGAGTAGGGGTACCGTATCATAGATCTGGGCGGTGACGTTACCATTGCACTGGTCCTGAGCATATGTGATACACGCTTGGGTGATCATGATTGACTAGGCAGAAGATTTTCCTGCAGTACGCTGCCGTTTCTTTCTGCAGTAGACTGGTTGCCATCCAAGGCTATAGAACCCAATCTGTTTTCCTATCCAACCCACAGCTGGGAGGGAAGTGATGGATTCATATCTTTCTCAAGATATTTGCGCGTAAATGAAATAAACACGGTTGGAATTCGAACCTACACCACACCGCACAGTAAAGAATTAGATTCTTTTTAAAGTATTTTCCATTCTAAAACTTCAGAGGAAAAAACAAAATGGTACGTGACCCTAATTGATCACAGAACTCGTGATGACATTTTATTTTTAGAAAACAAAACTTACCCCCACTTTTCTACTTGAGATATTATTTAATAGTCTGATAAGAGAGCACAGGTATGGGGTTCCCTATGAGGATCAAATTCATTACAGTAGTAATGGTCTGGTAGATTATTTTGTTGTCTGTTACTCTATAGTGAGTTAACATTTAATTTTTTTGTTTTGTTTTGATATTCACTTATCAATATTAGTACGTATTACCAAACCAAAATGGCTGCGTGTTTTGTTTTGTTTTTTTTGAAAGCAAAAAATCTTAACCGTTTAAAAAAAATTCCCCAAAATTAACGAATTTTTCAGTACTTATCCAATAATGAATCAATTGCATACAAAATTGGTTATTTTATTAGAAAACTTTGGAAATATTTTTAGGGTCAGTTTCACCCTCTCTCTTCGGCATTTCGTGTGTACTTCTTAGCTTAGTGTTCGCGAAATCTTTTTATAAAGAAAAATCCCTGAAGAAGTTATTTCAGTAAAAGATTTAATCAATCTCAAGTGTGAACATACGGAAAATTTCGCCTGTACCTTATGCAAATTAATTAAATAAAACGCAAAAAAAGAAATTGCGATTTGGTGCTTGCATAAATTCCATTAACACGATTTTATTTCAGATTCAACAGCAAAAAAAATTTATACTTAAATAATATTTATTTAAAAAAAAACTCACTTGTAATTAGTTTTAATTTGTTATTGAAATTTTGAAATTCATCCTGTTGCTGTTCGTAACAAGCTTTTTTTTTATTAAATAAAGTCATGTTTGAAGAATGGAAAAATCTAAAGTTAATGCAATGTTCGACTGTGAACTTTTTTTTTTTTTAAAGAATTTTAATGTTGCTTTCATTTTAGCAACTGTTAGATTATTTTTTGTATGGGCGTTCAAAAAAGAAATAATTCGGAATTACTGCTCCTGATTAATTACTCTTCTATATCGGACGCGTAATATGATAATTCAGTAATTCTTAAATTCAGAATAATTTTAAAATCACCTCATTGAGTCATTAAATGTTTTATGATATCAAGCAGTTAAGAAAATAATAAAAAATAAAACAATGATTTAAATTCAAAAGTATCATTTAGCAAAAAAAGAAATATACAACTAGTGTAGTATAAAAATTATTAATTCGATTAAAAGTATATAGAATAAAAAAAAAATTATATTCTTAAATTATTGGTTATATAAGGTTAACGATAATTTATTAAGCATAAATACCAATTTCTTCATTATTCCACTGCTGATGTTCCATATATCTTTATTTTAATTTAATTTTTTGGTTGAGTTTCGCGCGGTTTTTAAGTCAGGGATTACGGAACAAAACTAAAGGAAAACTTAAGGAATCAGCACATATGCTAGGCCACAAAAAACTCCTGAGCTGCCCAAGCATAGAAATGAATACAATATGGGAACCAGTAATAAGGAGGGCCAGAGAAAAGCGATAATGACAACAAAAATTGCAACATGAGCTCTGGTAAAAAAAAAACATGCAATGATAACAGCAAAAATTGCAACATGAACTCTGGTAAAAAAAAACATGCAATGATAACAGCAAAAATTGCAAGATGAGTACTGGTAAAAAATGAGTGCTGAAGACATTAGGTTTATAATACCCAGAAATTCATATACAGCTGTCCTCAAGGACACATGGCACAGTGGATAAAGGCGTTAGTTAGATGCAGTAACAGAGTGTGAGTTCAATACCTGGTTAAGGCGGTGGAGAAGTTGGAGAGGGAATTAAGCAGGAAATAACTGATAACTGGCATCCATTAGACATGTTACGTGAAACTAGAACAGTCTAAACCCAGTGAGCGAAATAAAGGGTTCAGTTCAACATTCCAACACCTGAAGAAGGCCGGAGCGTACAACGGCTGAAACGTTGTAATAAATATGGCGACAAAGATGAAGACAATAGTCTGAATAATGTAAATAGGAACGTTTTGTTCCTATTTACATTATTCTGTAACTGTTGTTGAACTATGACATTTACAAGCCACCGTGCGTAAATAAAGATTATTTCATTATGTTTTAAGTAAAAAAGTCAGCATTTACAAAATCCAGGACATTAATCCTTACATTTATTTATTTTCTTTGAAACACATTTCTAGGACAAATATTGGATTCTTAACAGATTTTTTAAATTTGTCGTTTACATTTTTCGTCTATAATGGCGCTTCGCTGAGTCGATAAGTGACACGTGCCAACATTTTCAAAATGTCTAAAAACTTTATTTACAGACAGAAATTTATTTTTCTTTTAATACGGATTAGTTTTAGGTTATTAGCTTTCAAATATTAATAATAATAATAATAATAATAATAATAAAATTAAATTCAAAGAAGACATTTAAATTATTAATTTTGGAATTTTTAGGAAGTTCGTGGCGGTACCAAAATATTAGAATTTATTTTCTGAAAATTAAACTTGATTGTTATTTTATAAATCTCACGCCAAAATTGAGTAAGTGTTTAATTTGGCTTGGCTCCCTCGGCAGGCCCACCAGCCGATGTTGAAATTGATTCCTGTATCTTAAAATATTTTTGAAAATACCCATGATAACACACGCTCTCTCTCTCTCTCTCTTTCTCTCTCTCTCTCTCTCTCTCTCTCTCACACACACACACACACATATGCACAAAATAGATTCGTGAAGTCATTAAAAGAAAATACAGCCATATACATAAATATGCACAAAGTATATAGAACATATAAAAAAAATAATCTAGAATATTCTCACAGACATGAATCCCCAAGATAAGAAATGTCACAAGATAGGAAAAATTAAGCACACAAAAATCCTTTTTAACACTTAACTTCCTTTCAGGAATCCCTAACATTGTTGCCCCAGACCCATAAGTATTTGGAAGAAGAAAGCAAAAAATAAAATAAAGTGACGGGTTGTCGAGCAATTCCCTCCTTCTGAAGAGAAAGAGATCAGATTTAAAATACTATTCGTTCAAGACGTTCCTTACATGTACCAAAAAACGAACTGTGCCATTGTATACTTCAACGCGCTTAGGGTTCGTTAAATAGAACTTTAAAAAATTGTTTAAAATGCAATTTTTTGAAAAATGATTACAAGCTTATTTTAAGCGCTCATATATAATTATTTCAGCCGCGATATAACATAGAATGCATAATTAACAAATATCCTTGCCACATATTTTTAATATTTAACAGAAGTCTTTTCTCATTGGTTAAAAAAAACATTGATTTTGGATGGAAGCCGAACAGTGATATATTTAAAAACATAAATAAATGTTTTGTTTAAGAGGATTGGTATGAAGTAAATTTAGTGGCTACTTAAACAATCAGGACACCATAAAATGAAATGTATGTCTAGAGATAGTGGGGTGCGGGAGTATAAATCAGATGTTAAAAGTGAAGAGCATTCTAAAATGAAATATTAACTTTTAAAAATTACTGATTCTATATTTTTTTTTTATCTGATCTTCTCAAACTGAGCATTTTTTTAGGAATATTATCTTTTATTTAGATTTTAATTTTTTTATATTTAGTTTATTTATTTATTTTATTTTGTTTTTATTTAATTTATTAATGTTATGATATTTTATTTTGTTTTTTATTTTTCATATTTTATTTATTTGTTTATTTATTTTATTTTTTATTTTTATGTATTTTCTCTTCTTTCTTTTTTTATTTTATTTTGTTTGTTTCTTTTCTTTTTGCTTGTACTTATTTTCTGAATGCGATCTACAGACATTTTCCGCATATTACTTATATAAAATTTTCAGAATCTAATTCTAATATTTTGGTAAAAAAAAAAAAATGAAAACTTTAAATTATCCAAGTAGAGGGTCACAAAATAAAAAGTCTGTGGGGAATAAAATTTTAAAACTAGGGGTGGGGGCTAAACTTGATAAAATCCGTGACAAGAATCTGAAATGAAATTAGTCCTGACCTAGCATCCCGGTGGACACGTCAGTTCGTAGTGTGACGAACCTGAGTTGTTATTTAGCCCGAGTAGAGGCAAGACGTGTTTATCCACGCTAGTTGTTGCGTAAATCGCGGAGAAAACACATGTCATATGCCCACAGCTGAAGGGGGAACAGAAGGAGCCACATTGTTTCACAAGGAACGTAGCCGAAACCACGGCCTGCTCGTTTTCCCTACAGGAAAATATTAAAAGTAACATCCTCTCGCTTTTCGTTCCTTTCATACTACTTGTTGTGTTTCATATGCTATATTTAACTGTTTTTCACAAAACAAGTATGAATATGTTTGCATATAATTTCTTGAGTGGCTTCAACAATGCACGCTTGCCATTCCTTTCTTTCAGCTTTTCTGATGTGTCCGTTGGATATCACGGATATGCTAATACCCATAATGGGGAAACGCAGCCGGAAATATTATTTCTTGCCTAGCATCCCCATTACTACTGAAAACAATTATTATTTTGATTGTTAAAAAAAAATTGTTTTTCTTTACGCTTATAACTATTTTCTGGAATGAGACATATAGATATTTCCCTCACGTAAAGTTTACATATAACTTTTATAAAAGTTTAGAAGTTTGATAAAACAAAAAATGAATTTTTCTTAGTTCTTTTGAAAATTAGGCTTAGGGCCATATCTCGCTGAAACACCGGTTCCCGTACGATCACGAAAGTTAACCAACGTCGAGTTTGGTCAGTACTTAAATGGGTGACAGCTTGGGATTGAATGTGCGGGTAGCGTAATGGATAATGGCTCGGAATTATTAATCGGAAAGCCGAGTTCCAATCCCTGAAGAGTTCGCTGTATTCAGTTACGCGTGAATACCTTCTGCAAACGTATGACTCCACATATTCTTCTTCCAGCTATAGGTTAATTAGTACACTTTATGACTAAACCATTATTATCTCCACAAAAATTCTTAAAAACTATAAATTCTTTATGGTTTTAATAAAGCTAAGGTTTTATCAGTTGTAGAAAACAATTAACTAAAAACCTCTTGAAATAAATAACAGTAATGATGTTAGACAAATAATATAGCATTATCATGGATTGAGACGAAGAGGATAACTTTAGTGTACTGTTTGGTTCTCAGCTCAATTAGTATTGTCATAGATTGTGACAAAGAGGTAATATTTAATCTACTGTTTAATGCTTAGCTCAAATAGCATTGTCATAGATTAAGAAAAAGAGGATACATTTCGTGCTTTGTTTCGTTCTCAGCTCAATTATCAATGTCATAGATGGAGACCAAGTGAATAAATTTAGCGTACTGTTTTGTTTTCAGCCCAATTAGCATTGTCATAGATTGAGACCAACTGGTTAAATTTAGTCTATCATTTCGTTCTCGGCTCAGTTAGCATTGTCATAGAATGAGGCCAACACCATGAATTTAGTGTACTGTTTCGTTATCAGCTCAATTATCATTGTCATAGATTGAGACCAAGTGGATAGATTTAGTACACTGTTTCGTTCTCATCTCTATTAGCATTATTATAGATTGAGGCCAACACGATAAATTTCGTCTATTGTTTCATTTTCAGCTCAATTAGTATTGTCATACACCGAGACCATGAGGACAAATTTAGTGTACTGTTTCGTTTCAGCACAATTAGCATTGTCATAGATTGAGACCAACTGGGTAAATTTATTCTACCGTTACATTCTCAGTCGATTATCATTGTCATAGATTGAGGCCAAGAGTATAATTTTAGTTCACTGTTTCGTTCTCAGCTCAATTATCCAAATCATAGATTGAGAACAAGAGGATAAATTTAGTGTACAGTTTCGTTCTCAGCCCAATTAACATTGTAGAGTGAGACCAAGAGGAGAAATGTACTGTACTCTTTCATTCTCAGTTCAATTATCAATGTCATAGATTGTGACCAAGAGGAAACATCTAGTGTACTGTTTCGTTCTCAGCTCAATTAATATTGTCGTAGATTGAGACCAAAAGGATAGATTTAGTGTACTGTTTCGCTCTCGGCTCAATTATCCAAATCATAGATTGAGAACAAGAGGATAAATTTAGCGTACTCTTTCGTTCTCAGCCCAATTAACATTGTAGAGTGAGACCAAGAGGAGAAATGTACTGTACTCTTTCTTTCTCAGCTCAATTATCAATGTCATAGATTGTGACCAAGAGGAAACATCTAGTGTACTGTTTCGTTCTCAGCTCAATTAATATTGTCGTAGATTGAGACCAAAAGGATAGATTTAGTGTACTGTTTCGCTCTCGGCTCAATTATAACTGTTATATATCGAGATAAGAAGACGAATTTAGTGTACTGTTTCGTTCTCAGCTCAATTATCAACATCATAGATTGAGTCCAAGTGGATAAATTTAGTCTACCTTTTCTTTCTCGGCTCAATTAGCATTGTCATAGATTGTGGCCAACACGATGAATTTAGTGTACTGTTTCGTTACCAGCTCAATTAACAATGCCATAGATTAAAACCAAGAAGATAAATTTAGTGTTCTGTTTCGTTATTAACTCAATTATTAATGTCATAGATTGAGACCAAGAGTGTAGATTTAGTGTATTGTTTAGTTCTCAGCCGAATTAGCATTGTCATAAATTGAGAAGAAGACGATAAATTTGCTGTACTGTTTCGTTCTCAGCTCAATCAGCATTGTCATAGAATGAGACCAAGAGCGTAAATTTAGTGTACAGTTTCTTTTCCAGAATCAGCAAAGTGCGAGTAGAGAACTCAGGCATTTGGCTAGCATCTGTTTTGTTCTAACGCCTAGAAAGTACGAAAAATGGATAATATTTCCTTCAAACTTTGTATTTGTGACTATTTCTGAAATTTACCTATTCTCATTGGGAAAACTGGCGAATATGAACATTCTACTTCATGCAAATTAGGGACGAAAAAACAACTTATGATTCGAAAGTAGCATTTATTTATTCTAAAAAGTTAGAAGTCAGTTGTTTTTCACGATTTACGCTTATTCTGTAAATTACTTTCATGAATCAGCCCCCAAATATATTCTCCCATCATGTTTTCATTATACGAACTCTTGGCAAGGGCGTTCAAAATCCAGTATATCCTAGTGGAATCGCTCGCCTTTCTCCTCTAAATACGCCCTTATTTCTTGAATTTGTCAATATGAGCGTCCAGGATATGGACTGAAAGACATTCAACAATCTCGACACAGTTGTTCGGCCTTGTGATTCCCCAAGAAGCCCCGAACCACTGCAACAAATCTGTTCCAACCTTCTTTTTCCGTCATAGTGAGGTTCTTGGGGAATTCCTTTAAATTTTGCCGCAGACAGCTTATGTAAACTCCTTATCTAGAGCTGTGAAAAATTGTTTCATAAGTCCTACTTTTAAGTGCAGTGGAGGAAACTATACTTTCCGGGGGTCCAACAGTGGCTCACATTTGACCTTGTTCCTTCCCACATTGAACTCGGTCCGCTTTGGCCAGTCCCGCCTCTGATAGTGTAGCTGTTTCACTACTGTCTCAAAGACAAACATACCACGAAAACTTGGTAAATCCGCATTGGAGACCCATCAAGAAGGCCACCATTTTGAAGTATCCGATAACCTCCCAACCGTACTCTGCATATTTCAAAGAATCTATCAAGATCTTGACTTTGCTGTATTCCTGATTAAGCTACCCCGTGTGATAGAGGGGAAGAGATGGGTGCATGGCCCTGTTATGAAGCAGCACACTTATGAGGTTCCTGGATGAGCTCTTGATCAAGTGGCACCATTAGCTGTGTTTACAGATGATTTCAATTGTCTTGAACAGACTGGTGACATTGTGGCAGAAACAAAGCCCATTTTGACAGATGAAAACGCTTGAAAAATACTGGTGACGTTTTCTTTGAACTACGGCTTGCAAACTTTCATCTAAAAGATTTCACTGCTTGAGTTTTCACGTTAAAAGATCGCCATTTGACTTAGTGAGACTAAGATCTCTGATCATGTCGTTGAGGTCTTTTTGGTTGGGTAGTATGGGTTTCTCTCTTCAGCTGCGTCTCTGTAATCTGAATCAATGACTTCATATTCTTCTGAATCGCTGAAGACGGCTGCATTTTGAGAAGTGAGTACGGGGAGCTCAGAGCAGTGTGGCATTAGAGCGATGGATGAAAGAAAGTCTGGATATAGTAGGTGCATTCTTGCCAGCTGGACGTCTGAAAGGGTCCGCCATGCAGAAGAACTAATTGCTTGAGTAGTCTGTTGGTTCCATCCAAATTCGTGGGATTGCGAATTTCGTGGCTCTATTTTCCCCTCTGTCCAGGACACAAAAGCAAAAGAAACAATGATTTCTTTTGCTTTCTAGACAGAAGCAATTAGGAAATAATAAATACTGATCAAAAGACAAAAAATATGATAAAAGTTTGTTACACGGTGTTATCATTTAGGCTGGAGTTTCTCACTCCTGTCTTTCAAGCATTAATGGAGATATAGTAGAAATAGTCTATTTTCGGTCTAATCTGACTCTTGTAAAGATAAAGCATGGCAGAAGGAATCGGGTACTTCCTGGGGTAATAGAATGACTTGACCATTTTTCCGGCATTTTTAGCATTTCCGGTTATACTACACAACCGTCCTGGTTAAGACGATAAACTACATCTGTGTCCTGGGTAAGACGATAAACTATGTTCAACAGCAAGGCCTCTGATCAGGAGGTTTTGAGGAGCGGGGAACCACCTCTTAATTGCTGGTGACCCGGAATGGTAGCACTTATTAGGTTCCCAACTATGGGAAAATAGTTAACCCCTAAACTGGGGTTAAAACACTATGAAAGTGTAAAAATAGGTTTTAATACCAGAAATAATTTTTTTAAAGGAAAAGTTATTACCAGCAATACATTATTACTAACAATACATTTTTTTAAGAAAATAAATATTACCAGCAATGCATTTTTGGAAAAAATATTACCAGCAATAAAAATCTTCGGCATTAAATAACCCATTGAGGTGGATATGCCGTAAAATAAACCAAACCAAACCAAACCAAATATACTACACAAAAATGGATTATTTTGACATGAAAATGTATTTATTACAAGAAAATTACTTGCTGCACAAAATAAAAGAAATGACAGAGCTTCTAATTACATAAGTGCTTTTTTCCATTGTTAACTAGTATGTTTTTTTTTTGTTTTTTTTGCCGGCGTCCAACCTAACAACTAGCGTAAAGACAGAGACATAGATAAATCAGGGCTGAAGTAAGAAATCGAGAAAAATTCTCCTTGCTGACTGTCATAGTAAAGCTGAGCCTAATTGGGAACTAAAGTAACACAAATTAAAAGGGCAGGTTTGGGAAATGTAGGGATCCCAGAAATGAACGTAGTATCCTTTTCGCCTCCCCTAATCAGGATAGTTACCGTGATAACATGCAAGAAAAGTTACTTGATTACTAAATAAGTTCCATTGCAAGTTCCAGATTTCTGAGACAAATGGTAAGTATTCCAGTTTTTAGTGGAAGCCTGAAGGCGTAACAGCAGGCAGCTCATGCAAATCGAAGTAATCAGTTGAATTCTGAACATTTTCAGAAATGGCTGAAATTGTGCCAATCGACTTGCGCGGCAGAACTTCTCCAGGAATCTGATTCCTTTAGCTGCATCAATCTTTGGAGCAAGAATTACTCACTAAAAGAACTACTGGTCGCCTTTGTAGTTTTGGACCATTTTCTTTCATAAAAACATTAAGTTTCACCCAAAGAATTTATAAAAAAAATACAGTCTGGAGACGTTTATCCATGGTTTCCAGATTT